AGCATCCATCCATTGTGTACGTGCTTTTGGTGATCTCCTTCAGATAATGAAGTATGAGACTTTCTAATAGTTATATGTTTGTCGTTCATGTGACGTTGCCATTATCAGTCATGTCCCCTATTATTGAGTGGTTTACATGCCTTGTTCTGTCATTGCAATTGCCTCAGATCTATGGGACCTTTTCCTGCTGGTTTCATTCTGCACTCTTATCTTGGATCTGCTCAGATGGTTCCTGAGTTCTCCAAGCTAGGTGCTTACTTCTCATTTTCGGGTTTTCTCATGTCCATGGAGGCAAAGAAGGCAAAGAAAATGCTGAAAATGGTCAGTTCTTATATATATATTTATATATATAGATTTGACAATCCTGGTGTATGTGTGTGTGCATGTAAAAGATAAGATATGTGCATGGGAAACAAGGATATAAAGAGAGTAGATTGGAATATTCTTCCGAAAGCCAGCGTGTCAAAAGAATCTCATCTTATTGGCTTGTATAACTGAAAACTTATAAAAACTTTTATCTAGGCTGCACCATCGGAAAAAATGAACCCCCCAAATTCTCTTCATCTGTAACATNAACTTATAAAACTTCTATCTAGGCTGCACCATCGGAAAAAATGAACCCCCCAAATTCTCTTCATCTGTAACATCATGAATTTTTCCAGGTGCCCTCGGATAGGATTTTGTTGGAAACTGATGCGCCTGATGCACTTCCCAAGTCAAAGTTAGACTCCCTCTATTTTGTTGAAGGCGATCCTTCTCTTCCCGAATGTCTGAAGACCCAAGAACAATCTGCTGCCCAAACAGGCTCACAACAAAGTACATTGCCTGGTTCTTCCACCGATGCATCGACGCTGCCAAAAGGGACTCTCAATCATCCAGCAAATATCCAAAATGTACTTCACTGAATCTTTCACTTATATCTGGTTGATGGATATATTTACGTTCATTCAATATCATTAAGAAGTACAAGGGGTATGTGCTGTTGGTCTAACAACTTAGCAACGCATGGCTCCATATATCAACAAGCTTAAAGAAAACTAGCATAACAGCTCTCTGCTGATCATAGTAGCATTTTATAACCAGGAACATTAGCCTTGACTATTATTTAAATCTATGAGTATAAACTTTCTCTTACTCTTCAACATGGGAAGGGATAGAGAGGTAGAGTTGGCCTCAGCTGCCATCTTCCTCTTTGTTTAATTAAATTACATGCTGACCTT